CATTAGACAGGAGTCATCAGACAGGAAACGGTCATCAGACAGGAAACAGGTAATCGGGCAGGAAACAGTCAACAGATGGACAGGTGAGCCGTCTCTTGAACGCTCAGTCGGTTTTAGTGACTCGCTGTTTCAAGTGAATACGTCTGGTCTGTGTGTCAAACAAACATGTTGCTTTGCCACCGTCTCAACTCTCATCGGCTCCGCCCCACACTACACCAGTTTAGGGCCCGCCCACTGCCAGTACCACCCCACTCAGCCCGGTTTATGGGACCGCCTTGTTTGTGGTTCCAAGCGGGCTGATCCGAGGGTCCGATCTTGACGTAAGCAGAGAGCAGCCGTTGATTGTCCAGTGGAGCTTCGTCACTTGATGACCCACAAACGACATCAGAACCTTCACTTCCTCTTCCTGTTGATGGACGGCCCCACAAGAAATGATCTCATTTACAGACATCAGAGATGATTGAGCAGCATGGCTGCACCCGGACTGATGAGCAGTGCCGGGAGAAGATAAAGAAGTTCAAGTCCGATTATAGAACAATTAAGGACCACAACAAGAGGAGTGGCCTGAACACAATGACCAGTTATGATCCCGCCCACTTTGCACTGATGATCCCGCCCACTGAGCGGGAAAACGGGTCACAGAGACAGATCACCTCCACCTGAGAAGAACCGAGAAGAGAGCCGAGTGGAACCTAGCTCATCGGTGGCGAAGAGGCAGAACAACAACAGGTTTAACAGGCAGGGAGGCTGGATGAGGCGCAGCAGCTTCACGTTTAGTTTAAACTTCCTGTTTTAAAGCTACACGAGGCGACGTCCGTCACATGAGCTGAATCTCCATGTTGGTCCAGCTGAGTTCTGCTCCTCGCATCTGTTGGTTCTGGAGGTCCCGTGTGACTAAATATGCCGTTCAACAAAACAAACGCGCACCGTGGAGGACAGTGAACGTTTAAATACTGCCGCTCATCTTATTGCTCCTTCTGCCCGTCTCGTCACCACTGGGGGGCGGAGCCTTCAGTCGCCACGCTGCTCAGCTCTGGAAGTCCCTCCTGTCATCAGGAACACACTCGCTGTGACATCACAGCTGGAAACACAGCTGTTCAAACAGGCCCATTCTCTTTAACTTGGTCTCAAGTGTTGTCATATCGTGACTTGTTTGCTGTTTCTGTTTTTATTATTGTTTTTTATTTGGTTTTGAAAGGTGCCCTGAAATAAAATTTACTATTATTATTATTATTATTATTAAAGCAGTAAATGTGTGCAGAAACTAACTCGTCCTGTGAGAAATAAACAACAATAAACAGCCAGTAAACAATGTCAACACAAATAAACCACTACATGATCCAGATTGAACCTTTCAATTTGAATAAAAATACGTCATTTAAAGAGTTTTTAAAATCTGACCGATCTCGAGCGAATAAAAAAATGAAGCAAGTTCTGTTGAACCCAAACGGTTTTCTCAGGTTTGAACCAGTCTGATAATTGTTATAAATTGATTTACGGTAATTAATTGTCTCTTCTCCCCCCCACAAAGGAGCCAAACCCTGAGGACCCGCTGAACAAGGAGGCAGCAGAGGTTCTGCAGACGAACCGGCGGCTCTTCGAGCAGAACGTCCACCGCTCCCTGAGGGGGGGCTATGTTGGCGCCACCTACTTTGAGAGATGTCTGAAGTAACTCGGACCTCCCCTCTCCCCCCTCCTCCCTTCCCTGCCTGACCTCCCCCTGCCTTCTGAGTCCTGCTGCTCGACTGAAGCGGGAGATGCAGCAACTCAAAGCAGCACGCAGCGAGACGCTTTCCGGTTTTAAAACAAAAGAAGCCCCGCCCCCTCTCCTCCATTGCCTCGTCTGACCCCTCCCCTTCCTCCTCCTCCCACATTTCTCTGTTTTACTTTCAACAAGCAAAGTTCAGTCGTTCAAACGACATACAACTGTCCGGACTCTGCCGAGGAGGAGGATGGAAGAGGAGGAAGGGGCGGGGGGGTTTGTTTCTCTGGTCGGCATCACAGCGCTGATGATATTGATGCCCACAACATTATTTTTGTTTGTTTATTCTGGTTTTATTGTTTGTGGCAAACACACCTGACTTCACGCAGGTGAACAGAAAGACACGCCCACCTCCACCCCGTCACCTGCCGGTATTCATTAATTTCAGCAGCAAACTCCAAACACTTCCTGCTTCGTTCTCACAGGAAGGAGAGGGGCGGGGCTTTTCATCCACAAAGATGGTGGATGTGCCTAAAGTTTTTCTTAATGGATTTTAGTTTTTAGGTTTTGAAGTCTTTTGCTGCAGGTGAAACTGGTAGGGGAGGAGCTTCAGAGTCATGGGGAGGGACCTTTTCCGGTCAGAGTCACAGGGAAATATTGCTTGAGGGAGGGGATTGTAAAGTGGGAGTGGCTTGTGAGGAAAAGAAACATGCCTTTAGTTTCTGCAGTGGCTGTAGTTAGTTTGAAAGGTGGAGCTTAAACAGTGTGGGAGGGGCTTTGACATGCTGCAGTTGATCGGTTTGGAGTTTGCTGCTGAAAGTGGGTGGGGTTAAGGTTGGGTGGGGGGTGGTCTTACAAGGGAATGGTAGTATTTGATTTTCTTCGGGGTGGGGTCAGAGAGGGGCGGGGCTTAAAATGTTACGACTATTGTGTATATTAAACCCCAATTGTTCACTTTGACTGCAATATGATTTATGTTAAATAAAATATGAACATGAACGATTAGAAGTGTTTTAATCTGATGTCACGACATGGCCAACAGTTGAGCTGCTTTCAGCTTTTTCAAACTTAAGAAATATTTGTGTCAGGTCTGGTTCCAAAAATCCAACATGGCAGCTTCTTCTGTAAACGGCGCCCTGTAGGTTTAAACTCGAAACAACTCGGACACGGCATGTGGCCCGCGAGCCTTTTGGGCCCATGTCTTTAAGAATCGTGTTGTTTCGGCTCGCGGGCCACACGTTGGACACCTTGTTTAAATTTGAGGGTGATACTTTGACATGAAACAGGATCAAATGTTTTTATAACGTACAAAACATAACGTATTTCGTCGTGCTCTGTGAAACGAACTTTTAGCAAAATGTAGACTTTCAGTAACATTTCATAAACCTGGTGAAATATAACAAGTGATTTAATCTGATCACCGATGGAAGGAAACAAGTCTTTACGAGCGTCTCTTCAGACCTGGATCAGCTTCAGCCTCGGGTTTGGAACGAGCCTCCAAGGTTCTGGAAGAGATTTGAACTTGAGGGATTTATGGCCACGTCACATGACGGTGTAAATGTTTCCAAAGCGTTTTGTTTTGAAACGGTTCAGAACTCATTTTCTGAAAAATTTTATTTTTACTAAAATGTTGTTTTTACAAAAAAACTATTTGTGCATTTTCAAAGTAAAAAACTAATTTTTGTGGCCCACCAGTATTTTCCGACAGCCTAAAAAAGTAAATGGTAAATGGAATGTACTTATATAGCGCCTTTCTATCTGATCAAGATACTCAAAGCTCTAACAATCTGTGTCCTCACCCTACAAAGCTAATTGAACAAATCAGCTATAGAGACTAATCAGTGCTTTATCACGTTCATGCATGGATGGGACACACATCGGAGCAACGAGGGGTTCAGTGTCTTGCCCAGGAACACTTCGGCATGTGACTGCTGGTGGATTCGAACCCCCAACTCTTGCATTAGAGGACGACAGCTCTAACCACTCAGCCACCCTACACCTCGTTTGTTTTAAATCAGACCCTCAAACACTTCATTAAAAAAATTGTACATTTTTTTGGTTGCGATATAAAATATAACTGACTCTAATTGAAACATGTTAATTTTTTACAGAGAAATATTGACATTTTCACTCATTTCCAAAATTTTATTTAATGTCAGCAGTTCACATTTCTGCCCAAGTTACATCAGAGGGGAAAGAAGTGTTTCCATTCCATGCAGTTTTAACAGGTTGTAACTTGTCTGGCACTAACAGACTTCCGTACAGGTTGAAACGCAGAAAAGAGTTACTATATACAGCTTTTTATTTTATTTTTAAAATAACTGGATTTCTGTCTTATTGAACAGGATCATCCGTCCGATGAGAAAATCTTCAGATGTAAATAATTTTATTTGTTGCCGTTAAAAATATATTTTATTAAACTCGTGTTCATCTGCAGTTTGATTTTGTAAAAATCCTGTGTTTATACCAGAACCTGATCAGAACCGAGGACGAGTTTTTATCTGTGGAGGTTCAGGTTATAAATCTTCATCTTCCATCTGCTCAGTCTTCACGCAAGTCTGGTTCTGGTTGAGGACCCGCTCCGTCAGGCCAGGTGTCACTGTGTGGTCATGAGGATCAGAGGGATCTCTTTGTCTCCAGTTCCGAACAGAGGGAACATCCTCTCCGTGAACTCTGAGTTGGAGTGGAAGCTGTAGATCTCTGTCCCCGTCTTCACGTTGTAGAAGGACACCTGTCCCTCCTCCGCGTCCAAGAAGACACCCACCTGTCTCAGCTTCGGGTGGTGACCTTTGACCTGCAGAGACAAACAGGCTGTAGTCACTGTCTGCTAAATAAAAAAAAAAAAAGACATTTATTGATAGAGTTTGAAACCAAAAAAAGCTGGAAGTACGGAAGCCTGAGAATGCCAAATAGAAAAATGCAAAACATGCACACTTAATTTTATTGTGTTACTTTAGTCTCTTAATGAGAATATGTGCTCAAGAAATTATAAGTTATAAATATTTGTGTTATTTTTTTCAAGATGTCATGGTGGCCTTCAGTTTTTAAATGAGCTCTTTAAAGTAAAATGTTAATATCTGTTATTTACCAAAAACCTGATGACGACGACACATTTCATCAGTTTCCTGATTAAAATAAAGTGGTTTTTTTCTAACTAAAATTGTTCAACATCTATTGATCCTAACTGGTCAGAACTGATGAAAAATGTTTAACTTGAATACATTTTAAAACAATAACTTCTAAAGGAATAATCTTATAAACTGTTATTTGACTTTATGTCTGTGACAAAAAATACTTTTTGATTTTGTTATGAAACATTCCAAATAATTCTTTGAACGTGTTCATCTAGTAAAATCCAGACTTAAAGGGATATTTTGGTCATTTAAAGTGGAGTTCTGTGGAAAAGTTTAGAGAACTCGTTTTGTAGAAGATGAGCCCGTTGAACGACTTCAGTTTGAAATGAACCCTGACGAGCTAATGGCTAGTCAGAGCGGGCCCAAAGTGAATCCCTTTGAACCCTAAAATCTATTTCAGGTCCAAAACCTTCCCAGTGGATCAAGTGAACTTGTTTTGTGAATTTATTTCTTGTCCTTACTGCAGCGAGCATCCAGAGGGCACTCACCTGCTTCAACTTCCATGTTCTGTCCCAGTATCTAAGACCTTTGAACCGTCCCTTTAAATTTAGCATTTTCAAGCCGGGTTTTATTTTGAAAAGCTGACCTTGGTGAGCGGAGGGGCTGTGAGTGCTCGTAGCTGGCTGCTGCTCCACCAGATGGCGTAGAAACCGTTGGGTGGACTCATGTCGAACAGGCCTTTCCTCTGAGCCGACTCGCTGACCACGCCCAGCTTCCAGTCCTTGTTCTCACCAACAAACACCTGCAAGACCAGGACCTGGGTCAAAACAAACATCTTCAAGACCAGGGTCAAACCACACTTCTGCAAAACCAGGACCTGGGTCAAAACAAACACCTGCAAGACCAGGACCTGGGTCAAAGCACAAAAACACCAGGACCACTTCTGACCATGCTTTTGCAAGACCAAGACCTGGGTCAAAACAAACACATGCAAGACCAGGACCAGAATCAAAGCACACATCTTGAAGACCAGGACCTTGGTCAAAAACACCTGCAAGACCAGGACCTTGGTCAAAAACACCTGCAAGACCAGGACCTTGGTCAAAAACACCTGCAAGACCAGGGCCTGGGTCAAAATAAACACATGCAAGACCAGGACCAGGGTCAAAGCACACATCTTCAAGACCAGAACCTGGGGCAAAAACACCTGCAAGACCAGGTCCAGGGTCAAAACAAACATATAAAAGACCAGGGCCAGGGTCAAACCACTCACCGGCTTCTGGTCTTGCTCCAGGATCCAAACCAGAAACACTCGTACGAACAAGTCCCTGATCCTACAATAAGACCTGCCACCAGAGTCTAACCCTAACCATGATCCCCAATAAGATGAAGTCCTGATTCTGGATCTGATCCAGATGAGTCTCATGTTTAAGTGTGTTCCTGGTCAGTCTGGTACTGGAGACCCTGGTCCTAGTTCTGGTTCTGACCTCCCAGTAGTGGCGTCCAGAGTTGAAGCCCTCCTTGGCGATGACGCAGGACCACACATCGAACCTCTGGTTGCTGTTCCTGAAGAACTGCAGCTTCTCGCCCCTCTTCACTTGCTTCCTGTCTTCAGACAGGATCAGGAACGGGTACGCCGTCACCGGGTTCAAGGTCACGTCCTCTGAGGGGACACCAGGAAAGGACATGAAGACTTGACTCACACACGGCCCCTGGTTCTGACCAGAGGTCCACCAGCAGAAGGTCTGATCTTCATGAATCAAGGGAAGCTCACCCATGTAGGCTCGGGCCTTCTTCGGACCTGAAACAGAACAAAGTCCCATTTAGAGTTCTGGACCGTTAATCTGGACCGGTTCGGTTCAGACAGAAAGATGAGCTGGGACTCACCTGAGACCTGTTTGCTCTTCTTCATGTCTGAGAAGAAACAGAACCACAGATCAGACTCAAACTGACCCCCCAACAAAGATCCTGTCCCTTAACAAAACTGATTCAGGACCAGCGGGTCTGGATCCTCCCTGCCCCCCAGAGAAGGTCTCTGGGGGGCAGGGAGGATCTCCAAGTACTCATCAGGTCTGCTCCGAGGTCTCCTCTCACTAGGAGGTGCCCAGGAGGCTACCCTCCAGAGGAAGACCATATCAGTCCAGAACCTGGTCCCTTCAGTCCTGATGGTTGGAGTGGAGATGGACCAGTAAATCCAGAGCTCAGTTCCTCCTTCAGACCAGAGCAATGCCCTCGTTACTGCAGACGAGACCCTGATTCTGTTCCATACCTTCAGGTTCTCTGGTGAACCTTTCTGCAGACTCAAGGAGAACCCAGACTCAGACCGATCCAGAACCTGGTCCTGAATGAGCCTGGATCAGGTCTGGGACCAGGACTTGCCTTTCAAGGACCACTGGCTCATCCTCAGACTGGCCTTGCTACCCCTCAGGCTCATCATGCTCTCAGCAGCCAGCAGGTCTCCGGAGGAGGCTGGAACAAAGACCACAGGGAGGATTCAGACCCTGAACCCGACCCTGGAGACACCTGTGGACAACAGGGGACTCACAGGAATCTCTGGAACCTCGAGAACCTCTGGACCCCCTGGAGCGGACCTCCCCAGTCCGGATTTCATCGGTCTTGTCCTTCAGCTCGGTCAGGCTGTTCTTCAAGTCCTCCAGCTGGAAGTGGAGGGACAGCTCCGAGTCCTCGTCCACGTCCTCCTGCTTGCCATCCTCCAGAGGAGCCGTGGCGTCCTCGTAGCTCTGAGAGGAGGAAAAGAAGGAGGAGGAGGAGAAAGAGGGAGAAGGAAGAGGAGGAGGAAAAGGTGGATAAAGAGGAGGTGGAGGAGGAAAGAGGAGAAAGAGCAGGAAAATGAAGAGGAGGAGTTAGAAGAGGGGGAAGAAGGAGGAAGAAGAGGAAGAAAGAAGAAGAGGAGGAGGAAGGAGGAGAAATAGAAGGAGGAATAAAGAGGAGGAGGAAGAGGAGGAGGAAAAAGAGGAAGGAGGAGGAAGAGGAGGGAGGAAGATGAGGAGGAGGAAGAGTGTCTCCTCCTGTTCCTGCCATCAGCAGAACAATCAGTGTCTTACCTGCAGGAAGCTGATGTGATCCTGGCTGATGGCCTGGACCTCCAGCGTGGCCCTCCTGTCCATCAGCTGGCTAAGCTCTGCCTCCAGACGCTTCATGATGCCCTCCCCCTTTGACGTCACGGCCTCCAGCTGGTTCTGGATCCCACCCACCACCTGGGTCCGGATCCTGTCTAGAGAGGCGGACACTTCGTCCAGAAGGTGTTCCACTTCACCTCGCTCTTTGTCCGCGTAGCTCTACGACAGAATCCAGAAATAAAAACGTTTCATTCGTTTAACGGAGACAAATAAAGTGTCCCAATCTGGTTCTGGTGTCTTTACTGTCCCTCCAGTGGTCCAGACTGTCCTGGACCCTGTTAAACCGGTCTGGATCAACAGCTCTCCAGATTTTCTGAAGGTCTTCCAAAGTTTCTCAGTACCCGATGTTCTGCTGGACATTTTTTTTCCATTTATCCTTTATTTATACAGGTAGTCTCATTGAGTCATGATAACTCATTTTCAAGAGAGACTTGTTTAGGGAGTAGATGGTGGGGGGTTAAGGGCCTTGATCAGGGGCCCAGAGTGGGAAAAAGGAGGGTGGAGGCAGGTGTGGGTGTTTCACCTTTTCCACCCACATTTTGATGTTGACGGTACCAGGAGTTGAACCTGCGACTTTCCAATCACAGGCTCATCTTCGTTAGCCTCTGCCCCCCCACCCACCCCCCCAAGCCCTTCAGATAGTCTGGAGTCCTGTTGATCTGGACAAGATTACAGGAAAGTCCTGTTCCTTTCAAAATAAAGGCAGCAGAGCAACTCAGAGTTGGGACCAAACCCTCGGACCTGCACGCCCTCCAGCTTCCTCTTTATCTCGCCCACACGGAGCTCCTTCTCCTTGATCCGGTTCACAATCTCCTGCTCCGTCCTCGCCACCAGTTTCTGGACACACAGGTGGACGCAGACAGGTGATGACAGGTGAGGACAGGTGAGGTCAGGTGACAGAACTGAGCAACTGGTCTACCTGTTTGCCCTGTCTCTCTGTCTGGACCGAGACCGTTTTGTGGGTCCTGTGTTCGTTCAGGAAGCAGATGGCACAGATGCAGTACTGACATGTCCTACAGTAAACCTGGACACACAAACGCATCGTTCAGAAAGTTCAATCTGGAGAATTAAAGGTTAAAAATAAAAACAAACAAACAATGTGACATCATATGCAAACAAACACACCAGAATGAAAAGATGGCTCTTTCCTGCCTCCAGGATCAACACGATGCAACATTTGTTGTTAAAGTAAACAAACATTTGTCAGGAAATTAGGAAAATAAAATAAAACTGAAATGATTTCTTTGTTTCCTTTTTAAATTGCAACGGAAAATCTTTAATTTCCCAGAAAGACGGTTAAAGGATGGAGAGCTTAAAATTAGAAGAATTAATTATTCCCAAACGGAGGATAAAACCTGGATCAGATGGGTACGATAAAATAAGCTGATTTTAAAAAGTATACGTTTCCTCCAACAGAGCAGAACATCAGAACAGAGGACGCTCAGCTCTGAAGCACGGCAGTGGCAGTGTCATGATGAAAAATTTTAATGTTTTACAGAAAAGAGCATACTCAGCTAAAACCTGACTTGAAATAAAAACTAAAACATAAAAATCTGAGGCCTAACGATGCCTAAAGGAATGCCTATCGCCCGCCCACTTTCAATACAGAGCTATAATTCAAGATGGCTGCCAAAGGACATTAACATTTGAAGTCTTGATGACTCAACTACCACAGAAACGTCATCTATTTATCTGTACTTTAGAGTAAATTTAACTTTAGTGTTTTCAAACTTATTCGTATGAAATCCATCCACTGGTTCATGTGATATTTTGCTAACAGAGCGACAAGCATGTTCATGTAAAAAAGTAAAGTCTGGTCCTCTGGGCATTCAAAAAACAAAACAAAAAAAATTGTTGAAACGTTTCGTCTTTCATCTGAAAGACTTCTTCAGTCTGAGGAGCTCTGTACAGCTTTCATAGTAGATCAACCAGTTTTGCTGCCGACAACCAAAACCAGCTGCTCACATGTTCAAGGAGGACCATCGTCCTAACGATGGATCGTTAGCACCCTGGTGGCTGTTTACTACTCACAGAGGGCTGAGTGATACTAGCAATAACAGAATTGTAAGAGGGGGACAGTTGAACACGGAGGCTTCACCCCTGTTTAATGATGGACAGTTTCTTTTCACAAAGATGGCCTCCTTTACTCCTCTCTCAAACCATCTTTGTGAAAAGAAACCGTCCATCATTGTGTAAGTTATTGAAGTTATAAACCTTGTAAAAGAACCGTTTTCCACAGCTTTTTTCGTGTTGTCACTCTGAATGAATGAGGCTCCTTCTTTCTATCGCTTCCCTTTTGCCACATCCAGTATGGTGGCGACGTGGACGTACGATTCAGCGTTCAGTGTGGCGTTTATGTATATATGTCTACGTGTGATTGCAGCGTGAGCATTGACAGGAAACGGGAAGTAGTCAGAGCGGATGTGTAGTGTGGTGCTCTTGCCTCCAGTAAGCGGTGGTGTTGGGAGCAGGTCCGGCCCCGCAGGGCCTCTTGTGGGTCCATCAGCGGGTGTTTGGAGTAGAAGGTGGAGGTATGGTGCGGCTGCACGTGCTCGGTGCAGTAGGAGGCGGTGCAGGTGAGGCAGGAGCTGATGGCCGGCTGTTTGATCCCCGTGCAGACGTCACACCACACCACATCTTCAGCCGTCGCCTTCGTGTTCTCAGGTGGCGACAGGAAGGGGTCGGTGGTGCTGTCGTCGTACATGGCGTCCACCGACCCGTTCCTAACGGGCGCCGAGAGGCCCATGGCGCCGTAACGGGTCTGCTTGAACTTGTCTGAGATGAGAGCAAAGACCTTGTTGATGCTGAGCAGAGGACGCTCCTCGAACTGACGCTTGCAGAGTGGACACGTGCACACCGGACTGGAGGCCCAGTACCCACCGATACACACCTGCACACACACACACGACCGCACAGAACCTTATCAGAACCTCAGAGCCCAGATCGGCAGCTGACAGAACCTTATCAGAACCTCGGAGTGAAGCTCACCTGGCAGAAGTTGTGTCCGCAGGGCGTAGAGACCGGGTCGGTGAACAGGTCCAGGCAGATGGAGCAGGTCAGCTCCTGCTCCGAGAAGAGTTCCTGCGATGCCTCCGCCATCGTCTGGCTGCTGCAGACACAAGAGAGGGTACTGAGGGACTGGACCAGAACCAGACCAGAGCCAGACCAGGTCCAGACCCAGAGTCCTCCATCAGACTACCTGAAGACCAGATCCCAGCACTGTCTCTGCTCCTTCCACTGGTTCCGTTCTCCTCAGTTTCTGGTTCTTAGTGTGTTTTTCACAGAACCAAGAAGTTCTGATCCAAACCAAACAGACCACAGGTTTACTGTGGTCCCTCTCCTATAGAACTGGGTTCCAGGTCCCTTTTAAGACTTGGTTCAGGTGATCTGCTGTGAACTGGACCCAGAAACCACTTGAACCCAAAGACCACGATTAAAGTCTGAGTTCTGGTCTGATCTGCCACCTGAAGCCCAAACTGACAGAAACATTCAGCAGAACCGTCCGTCTGCAGCAGATGAAGTGTGTCATCCCGGTTAAGTTCTTATTTCTGTTGGGTTCTAGGTGTGAAGCAGGTCCTTCAACAACATTTTACACCTGGCTCCACCTGGACCTACATGGACCTACATGGACCTACCTGAGCAAGCTGAAACCTGACAGGAAACTCTCTGGTCCGTTTCCTGGAATCACATGAGGTCCTTTGAGCTGACAGAGGAGCAGCTCAAACCACATTCCACCTGAAAGACAAACTGACATGGCGACAAGAAGAGCAGGAGGATGGGCAGGTGGGCGTGGCCTCTGCACCTGAACAGGTGTGAGCAGCTTCAGGTGGGCGGAGTCACCTGAGCTGAATGAGAATCAATACGAAAAATGAAGAGATAAAGGTTATCTCTGCCTGGGGGCAGTACGGTGGTACAGTTGACAAATCTGTTGCCTCTCAGCGAGCAGGTCACCGGTTCAAATCCCAGCCGGGGGCCTTTCTGGGTGGAGTTTGCACGTTCTCTCCGTGCTGCGTGGGTTTTCTCTGGATACTTCTGTTTCCTCCCACAGACCAAAAACATGCATGTTAGACTGATTGGTAACTCTAAATGGATGGATGGATGGAAGAACACCTGGAGAGACCGGACCCACCAGAACCTGATGGGCTGATGATCGTGAAGAAGAATTCTCTCCATCAGAAACAGGAGTCAGATGGTTCTGGTCTACATCAGGCTGAGTCCAAAGAGTCAAACTTTGACCTGGAGCAGTATTATTTGGGTCGGGTCTGTTAGAACCTCCATCAGATTCTTTATTTGATTCGTGGTCAGCAAGTCCAGGAGGACCCAGACCTCCCTCTCCGGCTCCTCCAGGAGGAGTCTGACGTGTCAGGGGGGTACATGATCCTTCTGATGAGGCTGGGTTCCTTCAGAGCTAGGAGAACCTGCTGAGACTTCCTCCTTTAGATTAGGAGCAGCAGCTCCATCTGGATGATGGACCTCCTCACCTGATCTCCTATGGAGGAGGACCTCTTGAATCCAGGTCCTGATCCAAACCTCAGGACTAGAGGTGGGGGGTGGAACTCAGATGAGTAAACCCAGAACTTCAGCTCCTTCTTCACCAGGACAGACCAGATCAACACCCTCATCACTGCAGATCAGGTTCTGATTCCCTCCAACCAGGACTCAGGACCAGGACTCCCAGATCCCTTAATTCCTCCACCTGAGACCAAGTTCTACCAAGATCCAGTTCAAACCCAGAGGACTCTGGTCCCACCCCGCTGAAGGTCCCAACAGAACCACAAGACTCTGGTCCCTGAACCGTGATGGTTCTTAAGTTTAAAAGATGGTTCTGTTTGTTGAACGACAGATGTTCTGGAGGGAGAATCTGAGTGGATCAACCGGTGGTTCTGATTCTGACATCGCTAAAAGAACCAACAACAACCAGGCCTCGTCTGGGTCCAGCTCAGGGAACAGGTATTCTTAGTCCAACATCAGTGGAACTAGAACTCCTGGTTCTGACCATCGTTCCCTCTTAGATCCCAGCAGACGGTCCATAACCTGCTGCAGTGTCGGACACAGGTCCGTTCACCGGCCCCACAACCAGATCCAGGTCTTGATGGTACCAAGAGACAAAGGTCTGGATCCGCAGCACTGACTGAACTTCTGGACCACTAGGTCTCAGGGACCTGGTCTGGTTCTGCTGTCTGTGTCTCAGTCCAGACTGTTCTCCTCTGTGGTTCTGGTGAAATGAGTCCTTCGGATCAAAACATCCCGTTCCTTCCTACAGAGAGCACCTCCCAAACAAACCAAAGTCCTGCGGGTTCTGGACCCTGCTGGTTCTGGACCAGTGGCCTTATTTCACACAGTCCTGTAAAAATGTCTGATCCAGTCTTCAGTTCTTAGGACTTTCCTCCCAAAGATTCAGACCTGCTGGTCATCTGTGGCCTGTTTCAAGATTTTTTCAGACATTCTGAGGGTCTTTCATGGCTTTGGGAACTTTGGCCCATCAGCCTGGTCCACATGTGGTCCTTAAAAGGAATCCAAGATAACTGAACCTTCAGTGGTTCCCAACCCTGGTCCCTCAGGAACACCACACCAGGTTTATTTCCTTCAGTTCTGCAGCAGCTCATTAATCACCCATGCATTCAGGTGTGGTGGAGAAACTAAAACAGGATGGTGTTCCTCAGGGACCAGGGTTGGGAACCACCGTTTTAGAGGACCAAAGAGAGAGTCCGACCTGCAGAACCTCCTCCAGGGGCCTAACAAAATCCAAAGTTCTTCATGAACAGATCCAGTGAGTGAAGATCTAAACCAGGCCCAGAGAGATCCACCATCCAGTGAAACCTCTAAAAGACCTCCAGAAAGTCCAAAGAACTCATGATCCAGAACCTCTTTACCAGACCACAAAGAAGTCTGGATCAATGGAGGAAAGGAAGACCGGATCAGGAGTTCTGGACCAGGAGGTTTTCAGTATGACTGATGAGTCTTCAGCCGAGATCAAAACCATCTGCTGAAAACCTGCTGAACCTGCCTGACTCGCAGGGGGGGCGGACTCAAAAACCAAGCCATCGGCCGTCTGGTTCCCAAAATTCACCTCGGCATGACGTCTGTGTCTGATCATGGTCTCCCTGAGCCTGGTTCAGGTTTTCAATCTGGGTCTGGTCCTCTGGGGTCTGACAGGTGGATCCACTCAGTCCAGATTTAACTGGCCCTGATCCAGGTAAACCTGTTGAGATTTTCAGTCTTCCTGCGAGAGAAAAACATTTATAGCAGAACTGATGACTCAGCAGCAGGAACACACCTGAGAACAGGTGAGGTGAGTTTACACCTGACTCTTCGGCTGATGTTACACCTGACTCTTCGGCTGATGTTACACCTGACTCTTCGGCTTTTCTTGAAGACTCTACAGAGAATCTAAAGTAATCAGCTGCAGCAGCTCTTACCTTCTCCACCGTCACCCGACTCTCTTCTGTCACAAACCCTGACAGGCAGGTCTGTGATGTCATCAGGGGGCAGAGCCAGCAGGTGCAGAAAGTGGCCAGGTGAGTTAGTGGGCGGAGCCTGACCTCTGAAGCATATCTGAGATCAGATCCAAAAAGTTGACAGTAACCAGCCAAAACTTGGGATTTTTGTTTCATCAAATAAAGAGTTTTAAAATGATTTGTTTTGCTTTTAATTTAATTAAAAAAAAAAAAAAGTTTAAATCAAATGAGCCAGAACAAAAACAAAACAAATAAAATTTTAAAAAGAAAAAACTTTTCTCACTTTACATTGTCCCTTTTGGATAGTCACATTTTATTATAAATATTTGGAAACAAGATTTTTTTAGATAAATTATTTTAAAGAATAAAGCATGAGAATCAGCACCTCCAAATCTAAGGTCGTGGTCCTCAACTGGAAAAGGGTGAATTGCTCTCTTAATAATAATAATAATGTGTTATGTGTTGTCATCATTGTATGTTCTGATACAATGGCTAAATCGTCTCTCTGCATTTAACCCATCCACCACCAGGTGGAGCGGTGGGCAGCTGTGGAGGGTGCCTGGGGAGCAACTGGGGATAGGGTGTCCTGGTCAGACACCATGAGATGTGCAATGGCTGGGGATCGAGCCCAGGACCTTTGGGCTGTAGAAAGAAATGTCTGGACCTCCCTGCTCAACATGCTGCCCCTGAGACCTGAGTCCAGAACAAGAGGATAGATATTTTAAAGAAGACAAAAAAAAGATCAGATTTTAAATTTACAAAAGGTGAATGAAAACAAAAACAAACTTTTACAAAAAAGCGTGAACCTTGTGACGGCAGCACTCGCAGGATGAGGGACTCATTTAGGTCTTTTCTTAGTTTTTGTCACTAAATTTAAAGTTTGAAGTTAGAAGCTGAATGTTTATTTAATTCCACAGTTTAGTGACTTTTGACCTGGTTTTTCATTCAACCTTTATTTCTACACGTTAGTCTTGTGGAGTCACGAGGACTCATTCACAAGAGAGACCTGTTCCAGAAAGACAACGTATAAAGTACAGACAACAATAATTCAAGAAAAAGCAATTAAAATCAAATAAAAGTAGTTACAAAAACAGTCAAATCAAGGTTCCATATAAAACAAGGTAAAATGTTAAAACAAGAACTTATTTGTTTTGATGTTTCTATTGAACTTATCAAATGTTTAAAATGTCTTAAAGAAATAAAGGTGGACAATTTCAGATCTTTTTTTAAGATATTCCAGGAAACGGCAGGAGAGACATACAGTAATAAGATGCATGTGGAGTGGGTGAGGGTGAAGTAGGGGTGGGGGTGGGGCCTCCCAGCACAGGCCACCCAACAGAGCGTCGTAGCCACTTGGCGCCTCGCATCCAACCTAGGTTAACACACCGGGGAGGCAAAAGGAGGGAGGCCAGCGAAGGCAGTGGGTTGAGGGGAGGGGTCCGGCATCTTCTCCCACCATCTGATCCAACTCACTACCAGGTGATCAGTTGACAGTTCAGCTCCTCTCTTCACCCGAGTGTCTAAAACAAACTGCTGCAAATCAGATGATATTAGGGGAGTGGTGGTGCAGAGGTTAGAGGTGGGCCTGTGATCGGAAGATCGCCGGTTCAAGCCCCAGTACAGGCGACATCAAAAATGTGGGTGGGGTAGGTGAAGTACCACACCTTCCCCCACCCTCATTCGCCCCACCCTGGGCCCATGAGCAAGGACCTTAACCCCTACCTGCTCCCTAAACAAGTCTCTCTTGAAAATGAGTTCTCGTGGCTCAATGAGACTACCTGGATAAATAAAGGGTCAATGAAAAAAAAAACCATGACTACAAAGTCAATCACTGATCTACAACCTAGGGCGTCCTGGTGCCAAATGCACTTATGGACACCCTTATGTTCAAACATGGTGTTCATGATGGACAAACCACGACTAGAACAGAAGTCCAACAACAGAACATAGCTCGAGTTCAGATCAGAGGCCATTCCTCCCAGTCACACCCCCCAGGTCACACGTCATTATGCACGTGGGCATTGAATCCTCCAGCAGAATTTAATTATTTTTTTTTTAAAAAGTCCCCAGGTGGTGCCCCTTCCAGAACCCCCGCCAAGGACTCCAAGAAGGCCAGATACTCTGAAATGCCGTTTAGCACATAGGCACAAACAAATTAAGAGTTTCTCCTGTCTTCTGCTCCATGTCTCCGTCTCCAGACCAGACAACACAGCTGGTCTTACCACCGTCTTTGCTGACACTGTTAAAGGTGGAGAGTTAGTTCAAATTAAACTTTATTTAAAGAGTTTGTTTGAGACAGAAACACACTGGAAGGTTCGGGTTACGTGACTCCACCCGCCTCAGATGAGTCGTTATAGAAAACAAACAAAAGTTGAACTTCAAACGCTTGAATCAGATTTCTGTAAATTGTTTTTTTATTTTAAATGTTTTTGTTTAAAATGAGAAACTTGTTTCAGAAACTGAAACGAACGAAGTCATTTTTATTTAAAAAACGTTGAAATGTTTTTCTTGTTTTAAAAAAAATAAACGGCTGATTCATGGACTGAACCCGCTCTGGACCCGAGCTGATGTTTGCTGGTTCTGCAGACTGAAAACAGAACAATGTGGTTCTGCTCGAGTTCTGTTCAACGGATCCCAGCACCAGGTCCAGTTCCACAGACGTTCTTCCACCAGGTCCACTTCCTGCTGCGGTTCTGCTAAACATCTGGATCTGACTGAAAGTTCTGTCCTCCTCAGAAATCCTTGTAGTGCAGCAACCTGAACACAAACAGAACCAGCTGTGAGACACAGAACCGGCTACCTGCAGGACTCATCGGGTTCCACAGGAACCTCCCAAATCTTTGTGTCATTCATTTACTGTAAACAAAAACAAAAGAACCTGCCGTTTGGACCATCGCATCCATGAAGCTGTGATGACTTTAAAGGGACAATTCAGACATTTTTAAAAGAGGTTCAGTATTAACGTTATTAGCAGTTAGAATCTTACCTGCTGCAGATAGATCTTCGAACGACCTCAGTTTGGAGGAATAAACTTTGGTTCTGACCCAATTAACCAGCTAATGGCCTTAAAGAGGTTTATTCCCCGAGGTCAGCCTGTTAGCTTAGCTCGTAGCTTAGCTTCTCAGCTTAGTTGCTTTTAACGATCCAAAAACACAATTCTGGACGGTTAAAACAGATTTTAAAGAGAAAGGGAGGAGTCAGTGAAGAGCACCAGAGTTGAGCCTTTTGTCATCCAGTGTCTTCAGTAGAAAGAGAGACACGAAGAAACGATAAAGCCGATAAATGAAAATGAGGTTGATAATTTTCATTTATCGTATGATTAAATGATTTATTGTTTTTTGCGACAGGCCTAAAAAAATAAAAAAATTAAAAAAAATTAAATTTGTATGCCTCTTTTGTGACTGTCTACTGTTGTCATTGTTATCCATTACTGTCATCGCTCTTCGTTAAATAAATCAGGTCTCTCTTGTAAATGAGTCCCCGAGGCTCAGTGGGATTAACCTGTAGAAATAAAGGTTGAATGAATATAAATTCAACACAACTGCTCAGGGGGCCAGTTTCTGAAAGCCAGCAGCTCAGGGGACGGACATCCAGTAATTAAAATCATTATGTAAATAAACCAAATGACCTGTTACTTTTTAAATTTGTTTGTTTTATTGCATTGAATCATAAATGCAATAAACGGAACCCCCCCACCACCACCACCACAAAACAAACAAAAAAAGTCATTGGTGGGCTGGATTGAATCACCTGTAGGCTGGAAATGGCCTGCCAGCCGCCAGTTGAATTGTCCTGCCTTAAAGCTTCTCTGCTGATCCGGTTCTGGGTGTTCCCTCATTCTGAACTAAAGTCTGGATCAAAGATCCAAACTGTGTTTTTAATTTCCTTAATTTAAAAAAAGTTTTAAACCTTAAGAGTTAGTTGGATGATGCTAATTAGCATCAGTCTTCTCCCGTTTTGAACTCAAATATGACCCCGCCCCCACTGTGAAGTGATTGGCTGATGGTCGCTGAGGTCCATCTAAATCATGCTGGCAGCCATATTTGGTCTTTCCTACAGGAAATGAATGTGTATTGAAGCTAATATGATTGGTTGTCTGACCTGTAGAGGGGGGCGTGGCCTTTGTTGTTAGCCAATGAGAAGAAGCCGCTGTGTGGCGAGAAGTCGAGGCAGCTGGTCCGATAAGTGATCTTTCTCTTTGAGACGGGGAAGTTGGAGAACACAGTGAGGCTCTTCATGTGAAGCTGAGGACACAGGTAAGAGGTCAAAGTTCACCACCACCACCATCATCATCATCATCATAGTCATCATATGCCTCAGCAGTAGCTCACCAGCCGAACAGCCTCGTCTTCGACCCGTGAGGCGATGGCAAGGATCTCAGAGGAGGGGTTAAAGGCCAGCGATGTGGCTGAGGTCAGCAGGTTCATCACTGCCTTCAGAGGCTTCGGATTGGTCGAGTTAAGACACGCCTCCTGGGAGTAGACATTGACCACGCCCGACTGAGAGCTGAAACAAAGGTCACGTGACACGAAGAGATACACAGCTGTAAGAAGAAAATTGACCTGTTTCCAAAACCTCACAGACAATCAGAGAGCATGTCATTAAAGGGGGCGTGGCTTACCCACAGGCCAGGTAACGTCCGTTTGGTGAGGCAGCAATGGACGTCCCCTTAACGCAGCCGTCGTCTGTAAACCTGTTGACACACCGACTGCTGCGCACGTCCCACACAAACACCTCGCCGGCCTCTGCACACGCACATATACACATACATATCACGCACACATCACATGACAGGAAGTGAATATGACATCACACATTTCAAAGTTCCAGACTCACCTGAGTTTACAAAAACTCTGCTGCCGTCATGAGAAAAAGCGACGCCGCTGATGTCCCCGTTAATCTTCATGCTGCGAACGACCTCGTTAGTCTGCACACACACGCACACACTCTTAAATGATCGCCCGCCCACCCAGTGATGATAACTTCACTGGTGAGGAAGACAAACAGAGGAAGAGTCACCTTCAGGGTGAGGAGGTGCAGGTAGCCATTGGTGCCGCTCAGCAGAAGAGCGCCCCCATCAGGACACACGCAGAACTCCTTTACACGGGCTTCATTCAGACCTGAACACATCATCACAGGCTTTTATTTTGACAGGCTTTTATTTTGAAAGTCAGACTGACACTAGACTTGCTGGAGGCTGTTTGTGGGGAAACGAACCTCTGACAGAGCTGACCGGCACCACCCGGCCCTCCATCATGTCGTACAGGTAGAACAGCTTGTTCCTCAGGCTGGTGGCGATCACCGTCTCGCCATCTCGGCTGAACCGGGCCTTGTGAACGGGGAACCGCTCCAGGTGGATGCTCTGAATCTTTGGGTTTGTCTTTCCGTCGACCTGAAGAATAACTGGGTCAGAGTCACAGAATCACACGCTCAGGTCTCTGCTGCTGGAGGCCGGCTGTACCTGGAACAGGGAGATGGACTGGTCCAGTCCGGCTGTCATGACCACCTGAGCAGAAGGGTGGAACTGCACTGTGGTCAGCCGGTCCTCTGAGGGATGGGCGCTGTTGGCGTGAAGACACTTCTTCATCTGAGGGACGCAGAGACAGAACCAAACACAAAATGATTTAATGCTTCCTGCACCTGTTACCACGGCAATGGAGTCACAGCAGCACCTGTTGCTATGGTGACTGAAAAACAATGGCGCATGTTACCATGGTGACTGAAACACAGCAACACCCGTTGCCATGGTGATAGAGACGACAGCAACAAAGCGGATCATGACTATAAACAGTATAACTGTTGTTGTCGTTTGCTGTTTCTTGGTTGTTGGTAAAGTTTGTTGCTGTATTTTGTAGGTGTAACGGTACACGTGGGTGTATTGAACCGTTCCGGTACAGCATGTTCGGGTCGGTCCATGTGCGTACCATTTTGGTTATTTTTTCACTCATTAAATTTTATTAACGAGAGATTATGCGCCGCGGAACTAAAGTTCCTAAGCGTGTTTCAGCACGGCGCTATTATCTTGCAGCATGCGTAGCATTAGCAACCTAGCATCTCGTTGCAGTCTCCTGTTTGGGAACATTATGGCTTTCTCGTTAAAAGACAAATGAACAAATCCAAAGCTGTGTGTCGACGTTATTTTCACGGAGGATCTGCAGCAGGCAACACGTCTAACTTGTTAACGAACTTGAAACGACATCATCTGAACGTGAACATAGTTTGGTGCAAAGACCAATAACAGCAGCATTTAAACAACCTTTATCAGGTTATTCAGATCGGTCTAAAGCAATAACACAAGCTGTAGGAGTTTTTAAAGCTCTGGATCTACGTCCCAATGTTGTTGATGTGCCAGCTTTAAGCATATGATTAAAGTTCTTGAGCCCCGCTACGACATCCATCAAGTCAACACATCAGCCAAAATGTGCAGCAGCACTTTATGAAAAAGCTAAAACTGATAGTCAACAAGCCCGACCCCAGATTTAAAGCCCTGCCACATCGATGATGAGCGAGAGAGAATATTCAACCACCTCATATGATGACCGTGAAAGAAGAGGTATTGTTGCTGTATTATTGTGATCTAATTAACTTTTTTAATTTAAAATTATAATCTTATTAACTCTTTTTTTAAATCTCCATGTTGTTTACAGTCAGAGGATGATAGCAGCTGAGTTTTCGTCATCCACTAGATCATCTTCAGCTAAGAAGTCTGTAATGATTGAACTTGTTTACTTGGCATATTTCCAAATAAACATTTTGTAAGTCTTTATTTTGGCCTTTTTTGTACTGAAAATTAACCGAACCGAGCCCTCCTAGAAACTGAACTGAACCGAAATGTGATTTTAGAGTACCGTTACACCCCTAGTGTTTTAGTTTTAATGTTTTTTTTATTTTGTTGCCTCTTTGTGAAACATTCTTCCTCACAGTTAGGACGATGATGAGGGGTGTGGACTCACTGACCCTCAGGATGCTGCTGGGAAGATTTTCTGAAGACGCAACAAAGTTCCCCGTCCTCCTCAGGAGGTCATCTTCCTCCTCTTCATCGTCTTCCTCCTCCTCTTCATCAGCTGCTGAAGCAGAAAACTGAAGTTAAACTCAGAGTTCGGACTCAAAACTCAACAAAATGGTTTAGATGTTCCGATTCCACCTTTCTTCTTCTTCTTCTTCTCACTGCTGGGCTCTGCCCACGATGGAGCCCCTCCCATTGACTTCTGGAACCTGAAACAGACCAGGTGGGTATAAAGTAAACGAGTGTACAGGTGTGTATTCAGGTGTGCATAAAGTAAATGTGTACAGGTGTGTGTAAAGTAAATGTGTACAGGTGTGTGTAAAGTAAACGTGTACAGGTGTGTGTAAAGTCAATGTGTACAGGTGTGTGTAAAGTCAATGTGTTCAGGTGTGTGTAAAGTCAATGTGTACAGGTGTGTGTAAAGTAAATGTGTACAGGTGTGTGTAAAGTAAACGTGTACAGGTGTGTGTAAAGTCAATGTGTACAGGTGTGTGTAAAGTAAATGTGTACAGGTGTGTGTAAAGTAAACGTGTACAGGTGTGTGTAAAGTCATTGTGTACAGGTGTGTGTAAAGTAAATGTGTACAGGTGTGTGTAAAGTAAACGTGTACAGGTGTGTGTAAAGTAAACGTGTACAGGTGTGTGTAAAGTCAATGTGTACAGGTGTGTGTAAAGTCAATGTGTTCAGGTGTGTGTAAAGTCAATGTGTTCAGGTGTGTGTAAAGTCAATGTGTACAGGTGTGTGTAAACGTGTTCAGGTGTGTGTAAACGTGTTCAGGTGTGCACTCACTGATCTCTCATCCTCTGCTGTAGTTTCTGTTTGGACATGGTGGACTCCGCCTGTCCTTTGATCAGGTTTCTACGGTAACGATGCGTCATGTCCACCCTGACACACACAGACAGGTAAACACCACCACCTGAGGCTTTTGAAGTAAACGTTCCCGGCTTCGGGACTAAACTCACTCCTCGTGGAGCTCGTCGTCCTCGTCCACCCAGGCAGCCTTTCTGGTCTGCAGCTCCTGATGATGTGGAGTCTCCTCTTCTTCATCCTCGGACTGCTCCAGGTCCTCCTCCAGCAGCAGGCCTCCTGTCTGCTCCTCCTGCTCCACCACAGGGAAAAAAAAAAAAAAAGTTAAAACACGCATTTAGCTTTAAAACCTGCTTTTTTAAAAACATGATTTTCTTTTGGGCATGAATTTATTTTATTTGTTAAAAAACAAAAAAAAAATCTTAAAATGTAAACAAACCTTTCCAACCAATAAAATGTTTAAACAGAAATACAACCGAACGTTTTGCGAGTAATGGTAATTTAAAGAAATGTTTTAAATGTTGCCGTTTTTGAAGCTGCGAGAAATTAAACGTTAAATTTAAAGATTTTTGAACGGAGTCTGGCGCGAGCATCACCTCCTCCTCCGGCTCCACGAGCCTCTCCAGCAGCTCGTCCTCCGTCCCGAACACGAGAGTCTCCAGCCGCATCACTGACTCGTCCTCCTCTCCCAGAACCGCCAGCTTCTTCACGTTCTGCTGCCGAAGCTGCTCCTCTTTCTCTCGGTCGATCTTCTCCGGTCGGGTTCTCTTCCGAGCCCGTTTCTTTTCCTCAGTGTTCGGCAGTTTGATAACGTCCGCCATCTTGTTTCCGCCGCCAGACTCCGTACAGAAAACCTGGAGTTTAAATAAACACCTGATTGACTTGTCTACATGAAGCAGGTACACTGGAACATGTGGTTGTTTTCTTGTGGCAGTGACGTATTTCCGGGAAGCCGCAGCCTGCCGGATAAAAGTCTGCCCCCTAGCGTTCACAAACAACTGCAACCTTCAGCCTAATTTATCATGTTAATACTTTATTTTTATTGCACTTTATTAATCCCCAATGGTGAAATTAATTTAATATTTATTTCAATAAATGACCAGTTTAAATTCGACCTGATGAAGTGCGTGTTGCTACTGAGAAAATTACATTAAATAAATGTGGTCTACACCAGCAGAGCACGAGGTAATCTAAGAGTTCGCCAATTACTTTCACTGTGCTTTACACGTTTCCTAAAACATGGCATTTTACATGATTCCATGTTATCAGTACTTTAGTGCCAGTAGTAAAAGAAAAAACTGGGAAGAAATCTAGTATTGATAATTACAGAGCAGTTGCCTTATTGTTTAAACTTTTGGAACATATTCTATTAGAAAGACTTAAAGAGTGTATAACAACAACTGATAATCAATTTGGTTTGAAAAGTAAGCTCAGTGCTGAATTATGTATTTACTCACCGAAGGAAATTGTAAGTAAATATGAGACAGAACTCTTCTGTTTTTGTGTTTTTTAGATGTATCTAAAGTTTTTGACAGAGTTAATAAGTTGTTTATTAAACTACAAAGTATTTGGTTCCCGCGTATTTAATCAGGATTTTACATTATTTGTATTCTCATCAATCTATGCAAGTTAAGAGGGGTTTCGGAGGTTTCTGAACTTTTTCTGTATCTAATGGAGGAGGTGGAATTTTGTCTCCTGTCAATAAACGTGTACCTACCGTGTACCTTGAGGATTTGTCTGTTGAACTAAATGATTGCAAGACTGGGTGTATGGTGGGTAACCATCTTGTAAATCATTTAATGTATGCAAACGATCTGGTCCTGTTGTCTCCCTGTGATGGATGTGTTTGTCTTTTTTTTAAACTTCAGAATCAGAATAAGCTTTATTATCATTGCACTGAAGTACAGCGAGATTATACTCCATAGTCGTCAAAAGATGGGCGGAGTGCATGTGGCTGCAGCTCCTAGGAGCACGGCCTCTTCTTCTTTAGATAGAAAAGATGATTTGTTTGATCTTATTTTATTTGGTACGGACTACTTTTTGTCTTGAAATAAAGATTGGCATATAATTCAATTTATTTATATAAGTCACAACAGAAGTCACCTCAGGGCACTGAACAGAATCAAATGAGTTTTCTGCTCATACAGGTGTGTTAACACACCACCAAGTAGGAAAGACATCAGCAATGACCTCTGAGAAGCTGCTGTTATCAAAATGCGAAGGGTCAAAGGTCATTTCCAGATTATTAAATGAAAAGGTGTTCTAAAAAGCTGCTTACTCATCAAATGTGTTGTTAATCTGAGATTAAATTGAATTAATTAAAAAAATCCGAGGAGGAACTTTAAATTAGCAGCGAGGCTCCTAAAATCTAACATATCATCGCCCAGAGCCAAAGATGGAGCGTCATTTGTCTGCAGTGTTAGCAAAATATGTCATGAAGCACTAACTCTTTAAAAGCAATCATTGGACAAAGCTGACAGACTTTACGCTGCCGGTTCACTTTCACTTTAAGATTCTTTTAAAGTTTTTAATCTGTCGGCCTCCAGTTGTTTCATGGATCGTTGGAGCTTTTACAACCAACCAGAGATCTTCAGCAGCTGAGCCCCCCCCCCGGCTCTAGTTCGTTCTGGGCCTTTTAAAACTTTTTTTTTTTAATGTTTGATCTTTCTTTTGTTGTCATTTTTTTCTGTTTGTAAATACTTTGTTGTTTGTTATAAATAAACCTGACAAACATCGACCACTCGGCACCGATGAGGCGGCGGGCGATAAGCATCACTCTGACCGATAAAAGGAGAAAGTCTGAGGTTGTGCAGGTCGGAGCTGATAAAGAGGACACACACGTCAGGAACTGCTGGAGTTTATTTCAGACAACTGCAGTCTAAAGAAGAAGAAACCAGACAGAGAGCATGCTGGGAAACTGGACCCATCGGTCCCAGTGGTTCTGAAGCAGAGCTGCAGGACTATCAGAACTACAGTTCTCATCTCTACAGCCGGTCCTGCAGCAGAGGAAACACACAGCCGATGACCCGAATCAGAGTCCAACAGGTTCTGACCCGGTACAGTTTGTAAGGCAGACAGACGAGACCCGGGAGGAGGGGGTCCAGAGTTCTGACAGGCTTCTGCAAACATTAAATCTTCAGATTTATGAATGGAGTTTGGTGGAAGAAGACGAAGCATCATCCATCAACGCCAATAAACTGAAACGTGTTCTGATGTGAAACAGAACCGGGCTTTAAGACGTGGTCCAAAGTCCAAACCTTAAAAGAAGAGAAGGCCGGTGCACATAAAGAAATTTTAAAAACCAACGTTCAGAATCAGATTACTACTTTTTTTTTATCTGCAGAGCAGCAACAGCCATGTTGTCAGAAAGGGACGGTCCCAGAACAGAACCAGAACTGAAATAAAAACATTAAAACAGGTACCGACTAAAAGTGCAGGAATGTGAGAATACTGCTTTAATAAAAACTAAAGTTTAAATCAGGAGTTCTGATGTTTCAAACGTTTCACAGAGTCTGAAATTTAATTATTTCACCAAATTATTTTTTGTTTTGAGTTAAATATGAAACGTTGTTTTATAGTTTAACGTTAATCATTAACTTTACTCCATCAGACACTCGTTAGCAGCTCGTTCTCTCCACAGTCCATAAATTATTCTCCTGATCGTCGACCCAGAACAAAAATAAAGTTCTGGAAAAGTTCTTTCTTCTGTCCATTTAAACTTCTGAGTCGTCCTCAGGCTGCAGGACTCACGACTTAACACTGAAATAAAGTCCACATGCAACACTCTGTGCGAGGGGGAGGGGCCATCTGAAGAAGGGGAGGGGCATTCACAGAAGGAGGAGGAGCCACCAGAAGCAGGAGGAGGAGCCATCACCCGGGCAAGGTTCTGCAGGTGGTTTCAGTCCATCTTGGCACTTAATGAGCCGACTGTTGCTGACACTGTCCGGGTCGGCGGGTCAGCTGACCATTGTTTGCATCATGGAGTCTGACACAGAACTAGAATCCAGAACAGTTTTTGGACTCAGGAGGTCCAGATCCAGATTCAGCTCCTGGTTCTGGATGTGTCTCGGTGTGTGAGAATGACGTTCGATAAATGGAGAAACGTTTTTGTCCCAGAGTCATGGGATCAGTTTGTCAGAACTTTTTGTTTTAATTAAATCCTCACGCCTCATTTGTTGTTTTACGTTTTGTCCAGATGAGAATTTTAATCTTGGAGCCTCGCAGACGTCCTCGTCTTCCTCTGAGCTGCAGTTTGATGAAACAAAAAGTGCCGGTGCAGAAAGAAATCCAATATGGAGGAGGAGGCGGAGCCACGCCGTCGAACCCAACTCTCTCTCTCTGATTGGTCGATCAGTCAAACGTCTGGTCAGCCAATCAGCTGTGAGCACAGATGAGGCGGCGGCAGACGAACAGCATGAAGCGCGCACGTGTGTGTGTGTGTGTGAACAGCGTCCGTGGTTCATCTCCCGACAGGAGGAAGGGGCGGAGCTCCTCTCATCACTGAAACAGAGAGCAGAAAACAAACTGAGTGGTTCTGCTGATCCGGGTTGGGTCAGAGGAGTGAACAACATTTGATCAAAGTTCTGGTTTTGATCCGCCTAAACTTTGATGAGTCCAAATGAAGAACTTCAGCTTTAATTTGTACATTTGTTCACTACAAAATGTCTTCCTGACATCTCTGGTGTCCCTCGAACGTCCCCTGGACATCTGTCCGGCGTCTCGCTCCACCCTGAGTGGACAGTTTACCGTTTGATCCCGGTCGTACCTCGGCTGGCTTTGCTCGGGTAGATCTTGGTGACGTGTCGGTACTCGTCTGGAGGAGGGAAGTCGTCCAGAGGATGGAACGAATATTTGGACTCGAAGTCGTCTGCAGGAGGACAAGTGTCTCGTTAGTTCTGCATCTGATCAGATTCTGAGTTCTGAACACACGAAGGAGACGATGAGGAGCTCAGACCATGAAACCTGAACGGATCAGTGAACGGGTCGAACTGGACCAAGACAAACGGGTCAACTCACCAACAAACGAGCGAGGGACGGAGGAGGAGAGACCATTTCGGAGAGGAGGGGGAGGTGGGGGAGGAGCAGCAGGAGTGCGGGAGGGAGGGGCAGGAGGTTTTCCTCTGCTGGGGGGGTCGGAGGAGAGGGAGGGGCTACCATGTGTCCTGTAAGGAGGAGGTGGCGGAGCTTCTCTGCCACCTGCCCGTGATGATGGCTGAACAGGAGCAAGAGGAGCTGTGGAGACAAAGAATATTTTTAAACAGTTAAATATAATAAAAATATAAAAAATGAACACAAAACTGATCCTAAATATAAAACAAGAAATCAAATTAAAACTATTTACTACATTTAAAACCCAAAGTCTCACCTGCTCCTCTACTTGAAGCCTCTCTGACGGGGGGTGGCGGCCTGTTGAGGCCGTGCTGGGATGGTGTGGGTGATGCGGGGGGAGGTGGAGGGGCAGGGCCTCTGGTGGGGGTGTGGCCTCCAGGTGAGGGGGCAGGTCTCTTGTTGCTCAGGGAGTTGTGTCGCTGCGGCAGTTCCGGTGCTGCCTCGCTACCACCTGACAGACTGTTAAAGCAGTATGTTGGAGGAGGCGGAGCTAGAGAGGAAGAGGAGGGGGCGGGGTTTCCCCCAGAGGTGGGAGGGCGTCTGTTGTTACTAGGAGACAGGGGTGGTTTAGATGGGAGGGGCGGAGTATTGTTAGGAGTTGGTGGGAGGGGCTTTTCTCTGTTGTAGGAGGAGCAGGGAGGGGAGGGGGCATTACCACGGCGACAGAAAGGAGGAGGAGGAGGAGGTGGGGCTGAGGAGGAGTGCTTCATGCCAGTGGAGGGGGAGGAGGCAGCTGAGGAGGGGGTGGAGGGGGAAGGAGAGGATGACAGGTTGGGTAGTGAAGGACGCTGCGAGCGAGACGTGTCCACTGCCAACAACGCATGGGGGGAGGGGCATTCTGTGTCGTCGTGGCGATGGCTTGGTGGGCGGGGCGCAGCACCACGAGTAGAAGAACGTCCCGAGGAGCCGTCTGCAAACAAACAAACTTTATTTATGACCAAGAATAAACATAAACAAAATCTTTTATAAAACGAGTGACGTCCTCTGACCTCCAACCGGCCTCATTTTAGGAACTCCGCCCATGAACTGGCCTCCGATTGGTGGAGCAGAACCCGACAGACTTCCTGCTGCGCTGCCATTCGCCCCTGTAGATGCTCCGCCTCCTTTGGGCTCTGGGAACCACAACCGTCGGACACATGAGTGCAGGATGAGGATTTGATGTCACTGCTGTATGATGACATCAGCAGGGTGACGGATGAATTAGTGCGAGAGGCGAGAACAGGTGAGAACATCAGACAGGTGAGATGAACTGAGATGAGGCGATGAAAAGGTAAATTTAAAATCAGGTGTTTACGCTCCCACGCAGTCCCGATGACATCATCGCAGCACAATAAACAGTCAAAAACACGTTAATAATCATGATGATATCAGAGGTGATCAGGGCTGCACATCAATCAATAATCAATATAATAATCAATTATTTAATGTCTCAGAATCTGATCCAAAGACATTTTACGGGTCGTTAAGGTTTGGGGGAGAAATTACCTGATTTCAGGTGTTCTGACTCTGGATCTGTGGGTCACATGACCAATCATTGATCAGAAGCTGTTGCAGCTCAATAACTCTCCTCCAAGTCCAACAGAACCAGAAGTTTTAAAACTGGGCTTAAGACTTTACTTTTTGATAAATCCTATAGTTAGGGTTGGCTTGTTATGCTGCTATAGGCTTAGACTACTAGAAGACAAATTGATCTTATTTCCATAAATGAATTGTTAAAATTGAATAGTTTTCACTTGATACTATTTCAATCTTAACATGTGATTGACCTGCCATTGTGTATCTGTTCCTCTCAATCTCAGCCGGTCGAAGCAGATGACCGCTTGTCCTGAGCCTGGTTCTGCTAAAGGTTTCTTCCTCGTGAGGGAGTTTTTCCTTTCCGCTGTCGCCTTCATGCTTGCTCAAGATGAGAGTTCAATGATGGAGTTAAATTCAAAGCAGTCTGTTCCTCAGATAAATAATGTTAAATTATTATACATGAATGTTTCTGTTCAATGTCCTGAGACGACTTCTGTTGCGACTTGGAGCTTTATAAATAAACTGAACTGAATTGAACTGAACCAGCATCAAGACAGTTTCCTTGTGAGACAGAAACGGCACTCATTTGATTTGTTCATTTTCTTGATCTGATTAGTCAAAGGTGTTCGGCTGATTTATAAAGAGAACCTGTCCGTTACCATGGAGACAGATACAGGAGGCTTTAGTTAATCTGTTGTCATGGAGACAGAGACAGGAGGCTTTGGTTCATCTGTTGCCATGGAGACAGAGACAGGAGGCATCAGTTATCAAATCAAACAGAACCGTCCTGCAGGATCTTTACTGCTGTGCAGCCCGACCGAAGCTTCACATCGTGAGGATCTGCCGTCCACTCAGGTGTCAGCAGGTGAATAGGAAGTGGGCTGAGCCGTCTAAGCAGGTTAGCACCATGATGACTCAGCAGAACTCAAATGAGCAGCGTTTGGAGGATTTACCCTCAGAGCCAGCTCCTGAAACTGGGTCAACATGAAGTGGACACGAAGTGGACAACAGACGTTAAACTAACAGCAGCAGCTGCAGGAAACATGGGCCGGTGTAAAGCAGCCGCTCCGTCACCTGTCCACCAACTTCACCTGGCAGCACCGAACCCAGTCAGTCCCAGCAGAGATCAGCAGAGACAGAGGGACGTCCCAGCAGAGACCAGCAGCCGGACTCAGAGCAGACACAGACAACAGAAACAGATCAGATGAAGAACACACAAACATGGAGACACAGAACCTCCTGAGAGTCATGGAATGGGTCATCGTGTGTTTGGAATGTGTTCAGACTCTGGATCAGTTTTAGCCTCCCCAGGAACCAGCTGGCTGGTTTCAGTTGGTCCATAAAGAGAAGAACCAGGACACTGTTTAACTTTAGAAGCAGTTCTAAACTTTGATGCGTAAACTGGATTAACACCAGCATCTTACACAAACGTTACGGCGTGCAGGAGGTAAAAACTGATGGCGCCGTGTGGGCGGAGTTTAACTGTCGTTTCTGTCTCTGTGGATGTTCTGTCTGATCACATGATCAGATCACAACATCTGAACCGCTGGTCCGATACAGACAGAAGCTGTGCCTATTAGGTGTTATATTATTGTTGCTATGGTAACATGCTCTGCACTCTGATTGGTCAGTCTGGAGACTGAAGAAGAAATATTCTGTTTTCTTACAGAGACTATCATCCACCATGTGAGTAACCTTTGACCCTGCTGATGGCCCCCGATGTGACCCGAGTCAGCTGATCCCTGCTCTGTGTTAACACCCCACCCCCCACCCCCCGTGGACAGGGACTACAGCAGCTGATTAAACCGACCGCAGCCTCCTGCAGCCGACCTCTACGGTCAGACAAGATGGAGGTCTTACTCTGAAGGGAAGGAGCTGAGCTCTGATGTCCAGCCGTCTTCTTTGGTTCCTCGGACAGCACCCCCTGCTGTTTGGGCTGGTTCTGGTTCTGGTGTAGGTACTGGTATAAACGAATGTATGGGTGCTCTGTGGGAGGTGTCTGGCTCTTTGGTGTTTGAGTCTTACTGTCGAGCAGCGGGGCGCTGCGGTCGTTCACCACCGCCACCTTCTTCAGCTTGGTGCCTTTACAGATGTCCGACAGCAGAGCGCCGCGACCTTTGGCCTCCTGTCGGCTCAGCTTTGGAGGGGTGGTGTTGGCCTGGGAGGGGGTGAGGAGATGCCATTAAAACAATAACTATAATAACTATTGTTGTTCTGAAACTGTTTTTGTGTTGAACTTTAAAACAAAAGAAGGTCCAGCTTTGCAATACAAGGAACAAACAGAGGAGCCCCTGAACGCGCCAGGAGCCCCTGAATGCACTAGGAGGCCCTGAACGCGCCAGGAGCCCCTGAAAGCGCCAGGAGCCCCTGAAAGCGCCAGGAGCCCCTGAACACACCAGGAGCCCCTGAACACACCAGGAGACCCTGAACGCACCAGGAGACCCTGAACGCGCCAGGAGCCCCTGAACGTGCCAGGAGCCTCAATCAAAAAAACGCTTCAATCAAAAAACCAGAGTACGCATAAATAAATCCAGATTAAACCGTGTGTACGTATGAATCCAGCTCACTTCCTGTGTACGTCCCTATCAATGTGGACTTGAGTGCACACGAGGGAATAGCTGACTCCCCCCCGGACACGCCTCCATCTGCCAACACGTTTAGCGTGAGGGATTATTGTCTCTGCAGGTGAAAGATTTATGTCTCCATGCAGCAAAATGAGGTGAAGACGCTCCTAAATGAGTAGAGGGAGCAAAAACATGTACTAGAAAGGTGTGTGTGGATGAAGTAAACCGGGGGAGGGGGGGCAGATCTGCCGGTGGAGCCTTTCGTCCAACTTTACACACGTGTTTAATAAATAATTTATGTAAACACAGACACTCAGGAGCTTGGTAGAACTTAAAAGAGTCTTCTTTAAAGAGTTGATTTGACAAATCGACTCGCCAAGAATCAACAAAGAATTTCCTCGGCGGTGTGGAGAACCTTTATATTTCAGGGCATCAAATGGATGAAGTCATCATCCATCTGGCCCCGCTCAGGGACACCTGAGAAAGACCTGATCAGTATTTGGTCCCTGAAAACTCGCTGCCTCCCAGTTCTTGTGTCGGTGACGTCGTCCTGCAGCTCCACAGCTGTCTTTGTCCCACAGACACATCCAACTTTACACAGCTGGCCAGATGTGTGATGGTGAACAACTGAGTGAGGAGTCACCAGAGATGATTGTTCTGAATTTACTGGTCTGACATCGTTTTCACACTTTATGTTCCTCCTGTGTGTGTGCGCCTCGCAGGCGTGTGTTTACATCTACATGAGATAAAATATGAGAAACTTCACGATTACATTGTAGTGAGGCTGTACTCATCATGTTTGAGGCGTGTTAGATGTTTGAAGTTAAATGTGGTTCACTTTCCTTGTTTCAAAGCAGCCAGTCAAAGCAGATGGCCACTTGTCCTGTTCCTGGTTCTGCTAAAGGTTTCTTCCTCATGAGGGAGTTTTTCCTTTCCACTGTCACCTTCATGTTTGCTCAGGATGAGAGTTCTATGATGGAGTTAAACTCAAAACAGTCTGCTCCTCAGATAAATAATGTTAAATTATTATTTTTATATATGAATGTTTCTGTTCAGTGTCCTGAGACGACTTCTGTTGTGACTTATTTACACTGTATAAATAAACTGAATTGAATTTAATTGAAATTGAATTGAATCCTTTAAGTTCAGAAAACCGAACAGAATCATTTCTGTGTATTTACGTGAGATTCAATTCTTTGTACTTTGATACTGTGGACTGAAAACGTTTGCGTGGAGGTGAGCACGTTCTCACAGCAGGTCAAAATGTGCATGAATTAACACAACGTTCATTTTGATACACCCCGACATGCGTGGAAGCTGGTGCACGCAACCCGTCTGTGTGTACGCACTGTTGATACTTGAGGCCCCTGCAAAGGGAGAACGGGATGAAGGACAAGAGGTGAGTGTAGGAGGAGGATAAAAGATGACAACGATGAAAGTGCTCACCTGGCTGAAGGTGGGAGGAGGCGGAGGCCCCCCTGGGGGAGGAGGAGGGGGAGGGATGGGCATCCTGCAGCTGATACAACTCACTCCGTAACCCTGCAACACCAACACCAACAGATCATTTCCTGGACAGATTTACTCAGAAATGTCAAAGTGACTCAGACTCAAAGAACCAGAATCCCAGTTCCTAAAACCAGCTGAAGACCGGGACGACCGAATCTGTTTTCCTGCGTTTAGTTTCTTCTCCTCCTTCTCCATGGGCCTGGATGTTTTCCAGTTTAGGTTGTGGATCCAGCTGATGGGAACCAGCAACAGGATTCAGTTTGTGTTGACAGACTTCCTGTTTCCGGTCCATCAGCTGCAGCACAATCTCAGATCTTTCTTTTAGATCATGCAGGAGTTAAAAATCCACCTCTTCTTTCAGACAGCATCAAAGCCGGTTCCGATCAGAAACTGTTCTGTGTATTCTGGTCTGAACTCAAATGATTCCTAACCTGTGTGATAAAAATAAACAATAATTTCCTTCAGTTGTTTACCGCAGTACCTGAACCACACCAAAGCCTAAAGGTAAATCAGTCTGATCTGATTAAAACCATTTGATATTATGGAATAAAAAAAAAATCTACATTTCCACCAGCAGAACCGCTTTAAACCGGGTTGATAATAGACTGGGATGTTTACGGAGCAGGCTCAGGTTCGGAACCAGCAGGTTAGCTTGTCTAACGGGCGCATCCCGGTGTTAGCACCGAGCTAGCTCCGTTAGCTCGGTGCTAACACCGGCCTGAATCTCCGCAGGACGACGTTCTCCTCCTCCACCAGGTGTGTTTCCTGTAAAAATGAACACCTGTTCGGACACACACGAACCGAATTGTTGGCTCACCGGGGCCGCTGCTCTTCACTGCGGACAGAGGCTAGCACCGCCTGTTAGCAGCATCGCCTTCTGCTCACAGCCGAACAGGTGAGGGGGGTAAAACTCCTACCTGTGACCGTCAGCGCCTCCCCGCCGCTGAGCTCATCCCCCCACAGATCTGCCGATGGTTTAAGGAAGCCCGGATCCGGCCCAGCAGCTCCTCGGAGGACCGTTATCTCCGCTAGCCTGGACCGTTAGTCTCTCTGCTGCAGCGAGCGTCAACACCTGGTCACGTGACGTTTAACCGATGGAGTGTTGATTTAAAGAAAATGAGCCGCTCGACAGACAATGTAACTCTTATTGTATGAATAAAATAGATATATAGAAAAATGAGGACACCTTTTCTAGAACTAGTTTTATTTCATTGTCATCTTTATTTCTTATTTTTGAGGATTTAAACCAGAATCCGCCTCTTGGGACTCAACTCGTGCTGATTGGCTGATATTTATTTACGTAATCTCTGATTGGCTAAAAATTAAAAGACGCAAATCTACAGGATGGTGGCTGTGACATTTATAAAGACAACAACTGGTAGTGATCATTATCCAATTAAAATCAGCAGGATTAACAATAAATAACAAGAGTATAAAAGTACATAAGAAAAGGAACTTTAATAAGGCAGACTGGAGTAAATTTAGATATGTGAGTCAAAATCCTTAACCTCCTTCCTGAGGGGAGTGGGGCAAAAAGTGTGTGTGCTGGGTGAGTGAGGTCCTTCATGATGCAAGTGGTCCTCTTCCTGCATCTGGAGGTGTAGATGTCTGTGATGGTGGGGAGGCTGACTCCAACAGTCTTCTGTGCAGCCTTCACCACTCTCTGCAAAGCTTTTCTTTCTGCAGCTGTGCAGCCTCCATGCCACACGTTGATGCTGGAGCACAGGATGCTCTCCACTGCACACCTGTAGAAGGAGGTGAGGACTGAGCTTCCCAGACCAGCTCGTCTCTGCTGTCTGAGGAAGTAGAGTCTCTGATGAGCTTTCTTGATCAGGCTGGTGGTGTTGTTGCTCCAGCTGAGGTTGTCGTTCAGGTGCACACCCAAGTACTTGTAGCTGGAGACCACTTCCACTGCAGATCCTTCTATGTTTGGTGGGGTCGGGGTTGGGGGGAGGTATGTTTGTTCCTTCTGAAGTCCACGTCCATCTCCTTTGTCTTCTTCACATTGATGTGAAGGTTATTCTCTTTGCACCAGCTCTCCAGGTGTTCCACCTCCTGCCTGTAACTGGACTCATCATTGTTTGTGATGCATCCCACCACTGCTGTATCATCTGCAAACTTTACAATGTGACAGCCTGGATGGGTAGCTGCACAATCATACGTGAGCAGAGTGAACAGGAGAGGGCTCAGCACACAACCCTGAGGGAAGCCAGTGCTGAGGGTTATGGTGGATGAGGAGAAGTTGTGGATCCTCACAGACTGTGGTCTGTTTGTTAAGAAGTCTAGTACCCAGTTGCAAATGGAGGGGCTTAGTCCTAGAGTGAGTCGTTTGTCCATCAGGGTTTGGGGGATCATGGTGTTGAAGGCAGATGCAAAGTCCACAAAGAGCATATGGACGTAGAAGTCCTTCTGCTCTAGGTTGGTGAGACAGTGTGGACCACAGAGGAAATGGCGTCCTCTGGTGATAGATTCTCATGGTATGCAAACTGGTGAGGGTCCTCATTGATGTTGATTGCTGTTCTGATGTGGGTCATGACCAGTTTTTCAAAGCATTTAGCGACTATCGGGGTGAGTGCCACTGGCCAGTAGTCATTCAGACCAGTCAATGTAGAGCGCTTTGGAACTGGGATGATGGTGGCAGTCTTCAGGCAGGTGGGAACTGTTGCCAGGGTGAGGGAGGAGTTAAAGATGTCTGCCAGCACCTCACAGAGCTGATCGGTACAGTCTTTCAGCACCTTCTCGAGGATGTTGTCTGTATGGGCCAGTTGATTTGTGAGGGTTAACTGTCCTGAAGGTCCTCCTTACTTCTGCTGAGGTCACGCTGAGAAGCTTTTCATCCAGTGGTGAGGTGAGTCTGGTGCTATAAGATGTTTGGCTGGCAGTATCTGGGGAGCAGATAGATTAAAACAAATATACACCGGATTTATCAGGTCAAACATGAATTATGGAAACATCATTTATGGATCAACATCAAAGTCACATCTGGAAAAATTAGACACAATACAACATCAGGCATTAAGCATTTGCACAGGAGCATTCAGAACCACACCAGCGCAGAACTAGAGGTAGAAATGGGAGAAATGCCATTGGATCTATAAGAAGAACACAACTAGCAATAAATTACTGGATACATTTACGAAGCAATAACCCGGATCATCCAACACATGATATACTAAATCCATGCTGGGAAAAAGAGAAAAGACAAATAAGTTTTGGATGAGTCATAAGAAAGAAAACAGAAGAATTTCAAATACACATTTTAAAAATAATTTCCACATCTGCCACTATCAGTTTTACCACCCTGGATTTTACCAACAGCAACAGTAAGACATGACAGTAATGGAAAAGAAAAAGGACAAGATATACATCATAGATTCACACACAGTACAGACTTATATAAACAATTATTATAAATACATTCAAATTTATACAGACACATCACACAGACACATATATTTCTTTTTCATAATTTTATTGTATTTACTGTTGATCTTAACCTAAGGGCCTTCTAGGGATGGGTGTTGCGAATTAGCTTTGGCTGTATACAGCAGTCTTGTATCTGTAGCTATCAAATAACCAATAAAAAATTAAATAAAATAAAAAACAAGTGAAAAAAATAGGAATAGCTTTTATAGTCCCAGAATTTCAAATAAAAATAGGAAAACGAATCACAGAAACAGATTATCAGTATACACAGTAGAAATGTTAGCAGTACACTGGGTGGAAGAAGTAAAACCATTAAAAACAAGAATCTGTTCAGATTCAAGCACCATATTACTGAGTTTGAATCACAGTCATTCAGACAGCAGGCCAGGCATTTTATTAGAAATGCTCCACAGATTATTCAGAATACAAAGGATGGGATTAGCAGTAACATTTTTTGGGTACCAGCACACATTGGGATGGAAGGAAACGAGATGGCAGATAAGATGGCAAAAACTCCAAATCATAATAACATCATAAAACATACAACAAATCAAAGACAAAAAATGAACATCAAACAAAAACTGAAGAAAGAATGGCAGAAAAGATGGGACGAAGAAAGAAAACGAAGATGGTTTTATAGGATCAAAAAGGCAGTAGGAGAAATGAGAATTGGAAGAAGCAGAAAGGAGGAACGATTAATAACAAGACAAAGATTTGGACATACAGGACTTAATTATTCACTATTTCAAATACAGAAGCACAGTACAGGAAAATGTGAGCACTGTGGACAGAATGAAACAACGCAGCATGTTCTACTGGAATGTCAGAAATATGAGCAAGAACGAAGATTTATCAAAGTCCATGTCAGAGTTTCTTTATTTGTCATTCGCATCACATATAGTACATGTGGTGGAACAAAATTGTGTACACAGCGTCCCAGTTACATCCAACAAAATAATAAATTGTAAAGAAAAACACTAATAAGATCTAAGATATGAACTAAGAAATATGCTAAACTAAGAATTTATTATTATTATTTATGAGGAGAGAGTTTGAAAAGATAAAAGGGAGCAAATATAAACAAATTAGATGTAAAAAAAAAACTATTCATAGAATTTCATATACATATATTTAGTCATACACTGATTGATAATGTCAATAGAAAAATCAAAACAAATATGTTCTTGTTTTAGCATTTCACCCTGTTTTACGGCACCCTGATTTATTGTATTGTACACTACTTATATTTTAACTGCATTTGTCTGTGGTTTATTATTATTATTGTTTATTGTTATTGTTGTCTGTACTTTATATGTTCTGTCTGGAACACGTCCCTCTTGTAAACGAGTCCTCGTGGCTCAGTGAGAGCAGCCTGTAGAAATAAAGGTTGAACGAAAATACACCTAGACTGAATTATACCATGATGCACTATACTCCACACCAGCTGGTGGCGGTAATGAACACGTTCAGTTTCTGCCAACCGCCAAGAAACTGACGAAGAAGAAGAATTAAACTGAAGAAGAAGAAGCTCTGACGCCGAAGCCAAGCCAACAACAGAGCGCAGGGATAAGCGCGAAGATTTTAAAATAAAATGGCGGAGATTCGGGCGTAAGTTTGTTTTAAAACTGTTTAATTTTACTGTTTTATAACACGTTTGTTGTATTTTTATTGCATACTTTATTTTAGCATCAAACAGTAGGAATGAACCGTAGAAACCTGAAGCTAACAAACTTCGTCTCTGTCGGTGGTCAGTGTGCTGCAGCGGTGTGACCCGTGTCTGCTGGATCCGGACCCGGAGTGTTCTGAGGAGACAGCCGGGACGCTCCTCTTCCTCACGGTCTGCCATCACTCAGAACACCGGAGCAACAACAACAACACAGCTGGAAATTACTTACAGACAAAACTAATTGATTTAAAACTCACTACAACTAATAAAAATACGTGAAAGTATAAAAACACACAAAACAATGACTGCTTATACTCATCTTTACCATACCTTACTATATATACCATTTTATTTATAGAGCACTTAAAGCAGCAACAAGGCTAACCAAAATGCTGTACAGCAGAAACAAACACACAGGATAAAATACAAAGATCCAAATGAAAAAGATAATAACTAAAAGGCTAACATTGTTAAATACTGACAAGTGAAAAACAAATCACACAGTGCCAAAAGCCAGGGAATAGAAGTGGATTTTTAAGCGAGACTTAAAAACTGTGAGTTAGGGGGCCTGCCTGACATTTAGTTTTGGACCAGCGACAGAGAAGGTTCTGTAACCTGAGCTTGAAACAGGTTTCTGTAACTGAAAGAAGCATCTGATTCACTGACCTCAGAATATGGCTGCAGCAGATCATTCAACCTTTATTTAGACAGGTTAATATCCCACTGAACCTCGGGGACTCATTTACAAGAGAGACTTGATTTCTTAACAAAGAGTGATGACAACAGTGGACAACACTGACAGCAATAGACAATCATAAAAGAGGCATACAATTTTTTTTTTTTCAAATCAAAACAAAATGGCAACCAAAAGGACAGTCAAAAGGAAAAGTAGCAAAAAAACAACAAAACCAGCTAGATTATAAGGCGGTGTAGAAAACTAAAAACAGGAACATGTCTGCAGGTCAGTGAGATAAGAGAGGACAGAACTATTCAGAGATTTAAAAACATACAGAAGTATTTTGAACTGAATTCGAAAGTGACCCGGGAGCCAGTGAAGGGAGGCCAGAACTGGAGTAATGTGCTCTCTTTTGCCTGTACCAGTTAAAAATCAGGCAGCAGCATTTTGGACCAGTTGTAGTGGTGCAATGGAGGTCTGACTGATTCCAAACAGCTCATTGCAGTAATCGAGCCTGGATGTGATGAACGCACGTTTTACTGTCTCATGGTTATTTTTGGACAGTATGTCATAATAATAATAATCATAGCTACAACATCGGCTCTTACTGAGGCCAGGGGGTCTGATCTTGGAGACGAGTCATCTCTCCAGTGCCTGGCAGAGCCGTTGCCTCTCCAGCACCTCCCTCATGTCAGTCTGAAGCGTTAGCAATATGCCGCAGTGGAGACGACGGCAAAACTTTAGATTTTTTGTGCTTGGATGCCACTCTACCAGCTTGATGGTCCAGTACTGTGGCGATACCAGTCTCTGAAACAGAATCCAGCCCAAATGCAAGAGTGCAGTTATAAAACTCAGATTTCCATCAGGCCTGACGTCACGGGAGCGCTCCGAAACACAGCCTACATCTTCGGCTCCATCTTGTTCTCTCAATAAAACTATAATTTTAAACAAAGCTTCCTAAAATCACATCAGAGCTGTTCCTTCACATTTCTGCTTCTGCTCTTAAAAAAAAAAAAAAAAAAATCTCCACCCCTAAAAGTTAAAAGTCATGGTCAGTTTTTATTAAAAAACACAAAAATGTAACATTTTGCACTACACATAAGTTCCTGTGCTTTTGTGAACAGTCTGCTCAAGCGGCCCTAAAGTTTAACTCTATTTCATTCTATTATCTATTCATGATTTATTTCATGTTGCTGTGTTCATTCGTGCTCATCTATTCGCACAGACTCATGTTCGTGCTGCTGTTCGGTCTATTGTTTTTATGCTACTAGTTCTTAGTGTATTTTTAGTAACGCATTTCTTAGTTCTTATCTTAGATCTTATTACTGTTTTTCTTTTACATTTTAATACTTTTGTTGGATGTAACTGGGACCCTGTGTACACAATTTAATTTGTCGTACCACACGTGATGGAATGACAAATCATAAAGAATCTTGAATCTTGAACTCAGCACCCCTGAAAAATAAAGAAACCATCATTAGGACTGTCTAAGGAAAGTTTTCAAACTTTAGATTCTCCAAAATATTTAACAAATATTGAATAAATATGGAATAAATGACGACCGTCTTAAAATGGGCCAGTAAAATCTATGATTTTTTTTTTTTTTGCAGTAGTCGGATCCTCGACCCACCTGTCAATCAATCCAGTAGGCACGTCAGCAACTGACCAATCAGCAGCCTCAATTAGTCCTGAAGTGAACGCCCCCACCTGCAGAGCTGCAGCTTTGCAGTCATTTCAATAATGAGTTGACATCTTTTGTTTCATGTAATAAACCTTTGTAAATACACCAGAATGCAGGAAATGGATCTGCTTTATTCAAAATTATCTGGGGGAGGACCCCCAGACCCCACCACCCTTCCCCCCAGTCCATGAAAATATTATCTGACATTAAACCGGTTAATGGGGCGGAGCGCCCGCTTTTATATTTGGAGAAACGTGCAGTGTTTAGTGGGTGAGTGACACTAGTGTCCAAAATTGATCATACTTTCTTTTGAAGTGGTTCAGCTACTGGTTCTCACTCTGCTGGTCTTTTTTATTTATTTATTTATGTTTATTTTTACTTAGTCCTCCCTATTCAGTAAATACAAGAATGTGCGTGTGTGTGTTTAGGACAGTCGTAGTGTCCAGAAGGTATTTTGCCGTCAGCTGTTTGTTCTGGACTCCATGATGTCGCTCCTGGAAGGTCTTGATACTTCTCAACAGTTGATGACCCAACCCTGTCCCCCATTGCCAGGTAGACACACACACAAACACGCACACACAAGGATTACAACCTCACATCAGAAAATGCTACAACTAAGGGCCGCCACATACTCGGGAGTACTTCACTCTGCAGAGGTCCGCTCGTACCCGAGGCGGACTCAACACGGTCTCTATGCAGGCGCCCGCAGGACATGTCTGTGTAATTCTCAGTTTTTTACGACCTCGTACTCTGTGTCGCACAATAAACTGCCTGGCGACAGACTTTTGTATGCGACACAGATGTATTAAATTACCCTTCTTCATCCCTGGTCTGGTTTATTGGCCTTTTCTTTAGTTTTTTTTTTTTTTTTCAAGAGGCAAGCGATCTCTTTCTCCTCGTTCCGTTGACGCCATGAATGAAATTGTGAGAAATTAAGGAATTTGTCACAAGAGAATTAAAATCAGATCCAGCGTGGCTGTGGGAGGGTCTGATGTGTGAGCTGCAGGGCCAGCGCTCCCTGTTTTTTTTTATTTTTTAGAACTTTTTATTAACGTATAAACACACAACACCGCTGTCGCTGCTCCTGGGCTGCCGTCAGCTCTTGTTTTTTTTGTGACCTGTCAATCAATCCAGTGGGTGTGTCAGCAAATGACCAATCGGCGATCTCAATTTGTCCTGAGGGTAAACACTCTTTGCCTGCGGAGCTGGGCTGCAGCCGGTCAGGGTGGACGCTCGAGTATGAAGTCTGTGGACAGTGCGTGGAGTTTCCACGTGGCTCACGGAGTACACACAGTACGCCCAAGTATGTGGGAGCCTTAAGAAACAAAAAGGCCCACGGCGATTCTTTCCTCGGGCCTTTGACTCTGTGTTGGACACTGATGGACCTGTGTGGAGACAGGAGGAGACAAAAAGCTCACTGAAGCTCTTCATCGTTTGGTTTCCTCATCGTCAGAGCATCTTTGAGTGTCGAAATGGAGACATCACAGCAAAGAGCTGACCTGGTTTTACTGAGACGAGTCCCTGCCGGACTGGATGGAGACCCATCAGGAACTCTCTGAGCTCCTCGTGTGTCCTCCTGACCAACAGAAGTTTGGACCCCGGTCTTCTGTCTGGACCAGTGGTGTAGTCTATGAGACGCATTCATACGGAGTATACCCACTAGAAAAGCTTAAGAATTTCAGTAAAACCACTTCAAAGTGCCCAATGATACATGACGTATCATCAGACTCATGTCAGTGATGCATTAAACACTTCTGTAACAATCTATCTTCATCCAGCGAACTATATTATAATTAATACTTCTGTACTTTCTACTTAATACTTGAACATGTTTTGCTTTGCTACCGTTTTATAAATTCTATAACATGTTTTTAATACAAACTGTTGTACAAAGTTTGTTGTTCATTGATTCAAATATAAGCATCAGAGAAAATTGTAAATGTTCAATATGCTTAAAAATCAAAACAAATTGACGATTAATTCAATTCAAATTCAATTCAAATTCAATTCAATTCAAAAATACTTTATTAATCCCAGAGGGAAATTACATTGTAATTAGGGGAATTACATTGTACTAATCAGTGTACTTTGGTTTCTAAGCACAGTATACCCACTACAGAAACGTAGACTACACCACTGGTCTGGACCCAGGTCTTCTGTCTGGGCTCAGAGATGAAGACAAACTTCATCACAGCTTCTCTGAGTTTGGACCTGAGCTGTTAGGTGGTTCTGTCAGAACGTTCTTCTCACTCAAAAGTTCTGGTCTGAAGAGGAGCTTCTTTTTTTAATTAAAACCAACGTTCAGGCTTTGATTAGTTAAAATCATTTAAATTGTCTATAGGTGAGACACCTGCAGCTCAGGGTCCTCATGGAACAGGAAGCAGGGGGTCATGACCTCACCTCCTTACAGGAAACACGATGCAGCTTCAGTAAGACGCTCAGAAACGACTTGTGTGTGTGTGTCAGAGGGCGGAGCTCGCAGCAGGTGGAAGGCTCTAAAAGTGAAAAACAGGTTGGGGGTCGAGGAGACGGAGGCACTCCTGAGAACTCTGCAGGACCGGGTCCAACAGATCCACGACAGGCGACGCAAACTCACACAGCTGGTTCAGCAGCTGCACAGCAAGGTGAGTGTGTGTACACACACACACACACACGCCCTGAGAGCAGGGGATGCTCAGTTTCCTCCTCCTGCAGGTTCAGCAGCGGGAGGAGCTGGAAGTGTCGCTGCTGAAGGCCCAGAATGCACTGTGCTCATGTGATCAGCAGCTGAAGCAGCTGGGGGCGGAGTCAGAGACGGAGCTTGGTCAGCTGACTGTGTGGCAGCAGCTCAGAAATGAGTGAGTGCAGAGAGGTCACGTGACCCTGCTCGGACGCTCCGATTGGTCGATAACTCTGCTTCCTGTCCACCCGGCAGGCTGCAGGCGCACGCCGCCGCCTCGCAAGACGTCATGCAGATCAACCTGCTTGCCTTCAGCCAATCAGAGCTGCGTGTGGACCTCCGGCCACGCCCCTGCTCCATCCTGTCCTCCAATGAGTTGGAGCCGCTGAGGCTTCTGGTCACCTGGAGCAGCGAAGATCGATTCGGGCTGCAGGTAACTCACCTGTCGGCTGAAGAGGCTGAAGGTATCAGCCGAAGGTTTTAGGTCAACGTGTGGAACAATCTCCAGATGTTTGTGAAGCTCTTCACACGTGGTGACATCACTTCCTGCTCTATCTGACAGGTGTGTCTGACTCCGAGTGTCTCTGCAGGTGGAGGCGGGGCCGGTCGGTCTGGTGGAGGGCTGCGTGCTGGGTCGTTGGACGGAGCTTAGCACAGCCCTGCTGAGGATCCTGCAGTGCTTTGTGGGTCAGGCCGAGCTCCTGTCTGAGATCCAGAACCTGAGAACCAGGTGAGGCCACACCTGGAGCCCTCAGTCAGTTTGACGGTCTCTGATCCAGAACCACCTGGTCCTGCACACCCAGAACGGGTTTTTAAAGGTTCTGTGTTGCAGCTTTGCCATCGACTGGCATCCCGCTCAGCGCCTGCTGGTCTACCTGAAGTCTGCGTCCCTCGTGTGTCACCTGGAGGTGGAGGAGGGGTATCCAGGATGCGGCCGGGCTCGACTTAAGTCCGTACGGAGGGACGGACAACCAGTGGACACATCGGGACTGAAGGTAACGAGACCGGGTTTTATTTACGCTAACAAACCCGTCATCACACGGTCCTGGACAGAAGGTATGAATGTCCCATGATGTCCCACCATGTCTCCAGGATGTCCCCAGAATATCTTGTGAAGTTCATGTTGGTTCTGAACTTCCTCACGTGTCTCGGAGGTGGCTGGTTCTGTCACTTAAAATTAAATTAAATGAATAAAAACAAAATAAACATTTTCAAGAAAGTCTTCTTGAGCAACTTTTCTACCGGACGTCTCGGTCTGGTCTTTAGTTTGACGTCTGATCTCTGAGGCTCCAGCCCTGAACGTCCCGCTCCACAAACCACTCTGATAATAAATATTTTATTTAAAAGCTGCTCCAGATGTGGCTGTCTTCGTGTTTAAAGTGAACTCCGGCAGATGTGAGACGTGGGGTCAAAATAATGTGTGCAGCCGAGTATAAAGTGTTCAGACCCCGCTGCACGGCTCGCTGGTCCTAAAGACCTGGAGTCCAGAGGGGCTGAGACAACAAACCTTTAAATATGTCCTCACTATATTAAGTGTCCAACTGGAGGTCCAGTGGAGGACGAGTTGGACACAACTTTGGCTGCAAAATGTCCAAAAACTGCAGTTTTTCTGCTCAAGTCGTTTTTCAATTTTTAGTTCAAACATATGGACCTTTTAGTCTCGGTCTAACCCATATGTGTCAAACTCAAGGCCCGTGGGTCAAATGTGCCCCTCGTTGACATCTTATCTGCCCCCTAGATATGTGAAATATAAAATACTTCTATATTTTCAGTAATCTTTGATTATGATGTTGAAAGCACAACAGAGAACATCAAATGAGACCAATCAAACTCTTGATGAGGAACCTGTGACCAAGAAAAGATGCTGAGTATCTTGAGTTAATGTAGATTCTGAAATTGGCCCTTAGTTTGAAAAAGGTTTTTATTTTGGCCCCCTTTTGTAAGAGATTTTGACACCCCTGGTCTAACCAGAACCACAACGTTTGGTTCTGGTCCGGCTCTGAGGATGGTTTGTGTTCAAGATGGAGACATTTTCCTGAAGGTGAACGAAGAAATCTGTTTCTGTTTCAGCCTCGCAAAGAAGACCTCAGTCTGACTGAATGGTTGGTGTTCCTCTGCAGCGCTGCACTCCTCTGAGGAGCGCCTCCTCCCGAACCTCCTCCTGAACCTCCTCCTCCTCAGTCAGCAGTTTATTATTTTTCTTCTGGTATTTCTTGTTGTTAAATTGTGACCATGATCTTAAATGAAAAATAAACAATTTACAACAAAATTATTTCTTCTTTTTCCATCAAGTCTAAAAACTTAAAACGTTTGAACAAAACAAATAATCAATCACTAGTTAATTCATAAACAACCGAAAAAACAAATTGGGAACAAAAATCGTTACGTGTTCCACATTAAAATGTTTTAAAAGGTTTAAATATGGTGAATGTTTTTATATTTTAAACATATATTGGAAACATTTATAATTAAAACAAGACGCTACATTAAATGGAATATTTTTTTAAAAAGGCTTTTATTTTGTAAAGCTGCTACCTGTAGTCCCAGGTTCCCGCTGACCTCCATCGTGCATCGTTACATAAAAAACTTATTTTGACCCTCCTGCTGCCCTGGGGTCAAAACCATTTGAGCAGTTTAAGAATGAGGCGTCAGGAGCCATTTTGACCCAAGGACAGCAGGAGGGTTAAATTTAAATACTTAAAAAAAAAAATTAATTCTTGTCATTTCACATGATTTGTTCTCTTGCATGTCATAAAAAAATCTTACAATAATTGGTTTAATTTATCTTTTTGTATAGTTTTCTGAATGTGTGAATTAGTTTTTTAGAAACAAAATGAGTCTTTTTGGTGTTGAATTGTTTTTATATTGAGCACTTTTCATTGAGATGAAAACATCTTACCTGCAGCAGAAACACGTGTATAAGGTCATATATTTGCATACAGTACTCGTATCAACACAAGGAACAGATCCCAGAGCAGTTTTTAATAACTTAAGTAGAACTGGAGGATTTAGTTTTTAGAGCTGCTGCGTTGGCCCGCCTACTCCTGCAGCTTATTGGTCCCTTGTAGCAGTCAGTCACAGCTGGCCCCGACCCCTCTGAAGGACCCAGAGAAAAAATCCGGCTGCTCTTCTGAAGAGGCCAGATCCTCAGCTTCTGTGTGGAAGATCAGGATGTTCCTCCTCCTGAAGCACTTGGTGCTGGAAGAAACCGGGATCACCCGAACAGAACTCCTCGCTGCCACAAACGGAAACGAGGCTCAGCCTGAAGACGGTCCTAATTTACTGACAGTTCTCTAAACCTCCTGCTGAAGAACGGATCAACGAGATTCAAGTCCCGTCAACAAACAGGAAGCAGCTCCTGGACTCTTGTTGTGAAGTGAAACTCGGAACAGTTTCCTGTCAGTTCAGATCTCAGGCTTGTTGGCCACTGCATCTTCTGAGCAACAGCTTTTATTTTGAAGGGCTGATAAGGATGACATCATGGTATCCTCAGTGAGAGACAGGAAGTGTGGCGATGATGTGTGAGGTCATCAGGCGTCGATGCGGAAGGCCAGCAGCTTCTCAGAGTGCATGTTGTTGAGCGTGCGCAGGTCGGGCAGCCTCAGCAGCAGCTTGGTGAACCGCGCTGAGTCTCTGTCGTCGGGGGCGACGGCGGACTTGTTGATCAGACCACGCAGCGCCCTGATCAGGTTCTCCTGCAGCTGCTCCACCGACGCCACGTTCTCGATGCCGGAGCGGTCTGACAAACACAAACAGGAAGGATGAGCTTCACCTGAACGCTTCAAACAGCAGCAGAAGAAGAAAATGCAACATGTTGCTCAACGTGGCGCCGACCTGCAGAGACCAGAACCACCGCGGTGAACAGACCCAACTCCTCGGCGGTCAGCTCCAGAGAGGCCAGTTTGTGGCTGAAATCAAACATGGCTGCCAGGAGGTCGTTGACTCCCAGCTGCTGCAGGGTGTAGGTGGCGCCCGAGACGAACGTCACTGTCTTCTCCTTCACCCCGAACAGGGACGAGAAGCGCACCATCAGAACCTGAGACAGAACATCCGACCATCAGAACCTGAGACA